TGTTTCCGAAATACGTATCCGCGACTTTTCATTAATTTTTTTGTGGCTTTTGAGTTTAATATTTTTAATATTTTTAATATTTTTTAGTTTTTTTTAAATTAATAATATTTTTAATATAGTTTTAATTTTACTTGATAATATCTTTAATTAGATACTAGTTATCATTTGATCATTTGATGTATCGCCAAAAAAAAGTTAAACTTGTTGATCTACTTGTATGTTTACAAAGGAAATGTGTCTCTCGAGGGAGCAATTACTAATCCCCTTACTAAATTTGTTACCAAATTAATTATTTTAAATTATTATCAATGTATTTCAACGTTTTATTTATTTATTTTATAATAAGTACTACTATTATTATTAGCATTTTAAAGTAGATTTCGATAAGATTTCAATTTTCACTTTTTAACATGTTAGTATCAGCCTTGCTATTTTGAAAATTTACTCACCTAAATAACACCATTTCAAAGTTTTTCTTCATTTGGTTTTAAGATTCTCACAATCCATAGTTCGGAACAGTGGAATTTCAATGATTATAAAGATATGCATTTGATAAAACCATTTAATATATCATTACGACTGAAAATATGTATGATAGAAAACATATATTTAATGCCTCGTTGGAAAATAAAATTTAAAATTCAAGAAATTTTAATAATAAATCAAAGTAGGTACATTATACATTTTTTTTGTAAAAGGATTTCAAATAATTTTAAAATTTAACTTGAATTAAATTTAATAACAATATAAATATAAATACAATGTATAACTTTTAAAACAATCAGATATTTTATTTCGACTTTTTTTATATTTAATATTGAAACTTCTATACGTTTTTAATAAAATAATATGAACTTAAAATTTTAATATTATTTTATTTTATCGAATTTAGTTTACCTGTATTAAAGATATATCAATGTAAATAATTTACTATTAAATTAAATTATTTAATTTATAATTAATGAAACAAAAGTTTTGTGAATTTTGCAGGGTAAAAATTTACAATCTATTACAAATTTATTTAATTGATTTAATTGGTAAAATGAACTGACTATCCTCGAACAATGACTTTGCTATTCACCTCATTCTGTAATAATTGTGATGGTGTCGCGTTACCATTATTGTAGAAAATTATTATAATAAAACAGAGTTAGCGCATTCACTTTTAGAGACTGATGAGTGGACGATTAATATTTATTTCAAAATTGGCAATCGTCCGAATTATTATTTAAACCCGAAGAACCTGACCATCGTGGTCAGTCGATACTAGTGCTTTGTGTTATTCATCAGTCACTGTCCGGCTTACTATATAAAGTCAAGTCTTTGTTTTTCCTTTTCACTTACTCTCTTTCTCAACATTTCAGAATAGTTGTGTTTTGCACATTGTACCCTATATCTTCCTTACCTGGTACGCTTTAAAAAAAATGTTTAAATTATTATTACGCTGTAATTAATTGAGTGGGTTTTGATAAAAAAATCACTCTGTATATATATACATGTAAAGTGACTTAAGTACAAAAACGTATCATACACGAGGTATAGCCGTTTTTTAGAATGCTGATGCGTGGGGAATGATATACGTGAGGCGTATGGCATGTGGTATTGGTCAGTCAAAACAAAAATACTCATTGTAGAAGGACGGCTGATAAAGGTGACACGAGTGGTGAGACCGTGTCTCGATAAAAATTTGTTATATATAATATATAATATTGATGACACGCACGCTTGTACGGTTACGAAAGCCAAAAATAAAATTATACTGGAATAATGTTCTCGGCGTGAGGTGAACGGGGTGGGGTGAATGCGTTACAACAGTCTAGTCTCAAAGCCATAGACGACGGGATACGCGAGAATAACAACACGTGACGCGTGGTGAGTTACAAACATACATACAGGTGAAACTAATATAAGCGTGTTAAAAACACTTTATATTTTAGTATATATCTATTTTTTTTATTCAAGGATACACTTTGTTTCATCATAGTATATCTGATTTAATTTTCTTTGTTTTTTTTAAATCCACTTATTGTACGGGTGTTTATTTTTTTTTATAATCGAGACTCTCGCATAAGTGGTTGGCGACCCGACTTGTTGCAAGGGAGCCATGGGGGTGGCGACTCCACAATCCGTTGTGTGGCCTTGGTCGTCACCTCTCAAGATTAAAAATAAATTTAAAAATAAAATAAAATTTTGTTTTCCCTCGTTTAGAAAAACGTTTGCTAGAGGTATTAAATATTATTATAAGTAATCTGACGTCATTATCTTCAGTTCTTCAATCAGCTCATACTTATGTAAGTATAAAAGTACAATAATATTAAGGTATTATTTTTGTTTCGAAAAATAATAATAATACTGTTCAATATCAAGCGTACGAGCGACACTGAAAATTATCAAATAATTGACAAAACAATAGACAACATGTATTCGGACTATCAAGAAATTTTAATTCTTTACAAATTGAATATAAAAAGTTTGTAAAATCAATAATTTATTCCTATGGATAAAATTAAAATAAATTATTTTATTTTAGAAATATCGTTTAAAATGTTATCAGATAATTTGGTTTCTAATATGTTACCTATAACTGAAGTGGTAATGAAAAATCTAACAGTAGGAACTTCATGGAAAACATTTACTTCAACATTTTTTCTAAAATTAAAATATATTGTAATTAGCTATGACTTTAAAGAATTAAATATTCTATTGTTAAACACTGAATATAAAAATAGCAGTCAGTTCAACACATATTATAATGTTGAAATAGATTTTAACATGGTAATTAAATATTAAAAAATTAAAATTAATAATATTATAATCACTTTAAAAAATTTAATACTTGACCACCAATATCCTATTTATAGTTTTCATTTGTATATTGGTTTTTGTATTCCCTCAAATTTTTCTGTAAATCATTTGTGTTACTCATTATTAACCCTTAACTGGTATTTCTCTTTTATTCATACGTATGTGGTATCATTGGGTCCAATAGGACCCCGAAATATTTTAATGGTTTCTAATAATAAAAAATTTTTTTTAAACTTAGAAACTGTTTCAAATTTATTCATAAACATGTAATGTATCAATTAACAACTTAAAAAAAAAATTTTTTTGTCTTCTTTTTGTTCATTTCATAAAAAATAAAAAAAAAGGTTTATATTAACACTTAGTTTTAAATATAGCTTATTTTTTTTACAATTAAACTTAAATTCATTAGATTCTTTGTAAAACTTAATTTTTATGTTATTTGCAAGCATCCTAAAAAAGAAAAATTAAAAATTAACTAAAATTTATCTCATTTTGACTGGTTGATTTTGGTAATAATTTTCAATCAAAATTTGATTTATATTTTACCTTTACTTTTGGCATTGGCAACAAACAATTATTTTTGATGAATGTATTTGACATATGTGAGCATTGCATTTAGAACATACTAATTTTGTTTTTTTATCTTTAGATCTTGGACAAATAGAACACCTTTTTTTGGTAGATAAACGTTGTTCAACTCTTGGTTCAGATGTGTTCGTATTTTCTTTTTCTAAAATGTTTTGTATTGCTGTTGCAATATCTCGAGGCAAATTGTGCATTTGAGTTCTCTGTTCAAGGTGTTCTAAAATCAAAGATTTTCCAACTTGTACTATAAACTGCTGACGAGTTATTTTTGTGTTTGAATTTGAATTTGAATATATTATTGGAGCATTTGTCATAGAAATATTCAACATCGCATAAAAAATTGCTAGTGGCCATCTTCTTGTACGGCGTCCAACGTTGTACCCAGAACATTTTTGGTCTAATGTATCTACATCACTTTTAGTTGAGTTATAAAACTCAATTATTTCTGGTTTTTCACTTTTATGATCAATATCTTTGCCGTAGTGCATAGACGAAATCAGAACAACATTTAAATTTTTTTTCGGAATGTAAGAAACTATTGTTCTATCTGACTGAAAACCAAATAGCGAATTACTCTGAGGTCTACATTTTGTACTTATAAATTGCTGAGGTAATTCTCTTTTATGTTTCGTACAGTACACACATATGTGAGTCCCAGGCGTTTTAGTTCGGATACTAACTCATATGAACTGAACCAGTTGTCTCCCGTAACGTTTCTATTAGTATTGTAAACTGGTGCTGTAAGTATCAATACATTGAGTGTTGGTATAGAAAGTCGATTTGGGTATGGTATAGGTTTATCTTCTTTTCCAGTATAAACAAATGAATTAATTAGGTAACTACTTTTAGCATCACATAAACACATTATTTTTATTCCATACTTGTTAGGTTTACTTTTCATATAAATTCGAAAACGACAACGGCCCCTAAATGCGACAAGCATTTCATCCACGGTCAAATATTCTGATGGGGAGTAACATGATTGGCAATTAGTGATAAACAAATAAAAAATTTCAGAAAATGGAGCCAGTTTATCACCATTTTCTATTCTCTCATTTCTAGTACTAGGATCATCAAACCGAAGAGCCGTAATAATAAAAAGAAATCTTTTCAAACTCATTGTAGCTCTAAAAATATCACGGCCAGTCCCATCAGTAGCAAATAAAGAACGAACATCTTCGTGATTTGATTTGAATACACCCGACAAAAAAAGTAAGCCAATAAATGCTTTAAATTCAACCATATCTAAATGATTTACAAAAGTTGCTGTTTTGCCATATTTTACGCTCAATTCTGTAATTTTGTCATTAGTTTTATCAAGTACTATTTGTAAAATTTCATTATCCAAAAACAAGTACCATGCGTCAATAGGCAATTGTGGTTTGTTAGTTTTAGCTTCACCGATCACTCCTGATACATGAGTTATAATATTATGTCGTGGTGTGCGTGATCGAGCAGGTGCATCTGTAGCCCACTTACATCTATTTTTACCATAATAAAAACGTAAACGGCTTGCTTGAGTATCTGGAGAACTACTGTCACCGTCATCTTCATTATTGACATCGTCGTCACCACTACTATTTTCGAACTCAGACTCTGTTAAATGATCACTAATAATGCTTGAACTATCACTTAAATCACCATTAGAATCAATATCTAAAAGGTTTTCAATATCGGCATCATTTAAAACGGCCATTTCGAAGTAAAAAATAACTAAACGTTTATATTATCAAAAAAAAGGCATACACATTTAGTATAATGGGGTAATATGGAACCCCATTGCTATGATAACTAATTATACCTCATAACACAATCATGTTATAACAAATATTTTTGATGTATACCATACTGAAACACATGATTGAAGAATACAAGGAGGTTAAAAATTAATTGATAACATTCATTAATGTTGTCATCAAAAAATAATTTTATCGGGGTATTTTTGGACCCCATGATACCAGTTAAGGGTTAAAAGTATAATAATACAAAAATAATAAAGCAATAGCTTCAGTTTTCAAGAAAGGGGCTAATATTATTTTTAATAATTAATTATAAAAGAATTTTAAATAAAATTAATATATTTCAGATTAATAAAAGTACATCAAACGAAATTCGAACAATTTTAGGAGATTCAGATGTTTTCAAATTTAACATAAACAATTTAGAATTTTCAATTCATTATTTAATTTTAAGTGAATTTATCAGTTTTGTAAAAGACGTCATCTTTTATTTAAAAACATTTGATAGTCTTAAAACAGAACATATTGCTCAAGACAATTGTATAAACCATAAAAGTAATTTTTATAACTTTCTAGTAAATAATTCACAGCAATAATGAACATATAATAAATACCTTAGCAGTTACCAATTTTTATTGTTTGATTTTGTTGTTATTTTGAAAATGCTGATAATATCATAAAAATTGTTTTTTATTCGTTTAAATAAATATGCTTTAATTTGTGTAACAAAAAAAGCAAGTTAACTTTGATTGAAAAGTTTCTATTATATATTTCAAGTATAAAAATTTGCATAAAATGCCAAGAAATATAAACTATTATTGTATCATCTGAAAATTTGCTGAAATTTATATATTAACATTTGAAAAATAGCCATAGAAATACATTTTAGGGAAGAGACATTGAATTTATCCCCCTTCTTATCATTTTGCTAGAAAATAAAGCATATAAATAAAATCAAATTTAATAATGAACTATTATTTTTTTTCAGAATATAACAACTTTATTTTTGTCGATGTAAAAAATATTAAAATTAAATATATTAATATCAATGGAATGCCAATAATATTTCATGTAAACAATGTAACCANAATATTAAAATTAAATATATTAATATCAATGGAATGCCAATAATATTTCATGTAAACAATGTAACCAGCGAAATTAATATGAACAATCGAATCATAAAAACATTAATTATTGTAAAAGAAAATATAAGCTGGTTAAATTCTTTAAATAACAATGTATACACTCACGTGAGAAATTAAAATAATAGATATTTTAATAAATAAAACTCTTTACAGTCTTAACTTGCTATAAAAGAGGGTGCCTTTTTTGGGCTTTAAAAACGTTCTTATACCATTTAGTACAGTGAATATTTTTTTTTATTTGCACTTTAAAAACGGAGGCACAAAAGGGTCTAGGCACACTGTGAGAATGGCGGCATAGTTGGGACAAGTATAGATGATATCTGACACGGCACCGCCTTTTGCTCTAGGCTGGCGCTCACCCGTGTCTCTCTCGATATCAGCCGTCCAGCTATTAATATGACAATCGGTTGTCATCGGTCGTCACCCCGCCCTTGACACTGAGATAAGGCCGCCGCCGAATATGGATTACCGATATTGCGTTCTGTTTCGTTTCGACGTTCACCTGAACTGGTGTATTTTTACTTTTGGCTGTTCGGTTTTTTTTTGACGTTAACCTGGACTCGTTGTTACGTTTCATTTTTCATGTTCATTGTTTTTCGTTGTCGTTGGTGATTATATTTATAATTACTATTCTTATTAACTGGTTTACTTATTGCGCAAAGGCGTGGTTTGAATAATTAAATCTATATCTATATATATATATATAGAGTCATAGACTATATTTGATATTTTCCTATACCACCGCTGTAATTATTGTGCTGTTAACCTTGCTATACAAATCTGTATAAATAAATATATATATTTTGTGTGTGGTGTTCACCGTATATATTGGATACGCGTCATATCTGACAATGATTAAAATCACTACCGTAAAACCAGGTGAATAGAAACACTTTTGAACTTTGAAGTATCATAAAAACTTATCTATTTGAGCTACAAAGTTGATTAGTACATCAAAATACTGATCTTGTCGAGTACTCTAAAACTGTCGATTAAAAAAATTTTAGTTTCAATAAATAATTGTATATATTTTCTTAAGTGCTCTGTTTCTATTGACCCGACAGTTGGTGACAATAGAAATATTTATGACTTTTTCATACATTTTTCTATTATATCAACAGGTTGTTGAATAGAAACAATTATTGATATTTTTTAAAAATTATACACAACTTTTACCATTCAACTTTTTTTTTTTTATTTAAATACAACAACATTAACCAATTTGTTTTTTTAATATTTATTGATACAGAATAAATATTAAAAAAACAAAATAAAAATAACACCTTGTCATAACATTTTAGTCATACATCATATGAAAAAATAAAAATAAAATTAACATTTTAGTCTTATAATTTCCAGTCTTTGGATTTACTTTTTTTATATTATACAGTAGGCAACAAACATAATTAATTAGGTAGTTAATACTTTCATCTATAAAGTGTTAAAAGTAAATGATTAGAAGACTGTATGGAGTTACAGTTAAAATTGAACTTGAAAAACCCTCTGCAATATGGTACTGGTTTTGGCATTTTTCCAATAATTTGGGATCTATCAAACTCACAAATATCTTTAACAATTGGAAACCCATACACAAAGCCTTTAAACAGTTTTGTGGTCTTACTTCTTAAAAATGTACCTTCAAATGTAGATCCATCTAATTGTTTAATGATTTGTCCAATATAATACACGTATACCATATCTTTACTAGATGATTGCTTGAGATTCTCGACTTGGAAAGATACTAATACCCAGTCATCAACGTTTACTTCATTTTCTTTGTCTATAAGGATTACATTTTTAAATGTTATGCCATGTTTCACTACTTGAGGTTCTGAATTAGTATGGAGAACATTACTTAATGACATTGCAGGTTCGTCTGCATCTGATGAACTTTCATGAGGTAATTCTGTTATTAGTTCTGAGTCACTATCAGTATCTGACACAGTTTCAACACTTTTCCCTGGTTCTACCTGTAATCTTTTTTTAGTTTTTCTTGGTGTACTGTTACTTGACCTCATACTTTTTAAGAACTCTAAAACTGAATTATTTATGCTATCTCCACTTTGATTAACATCACAGCTATAATACGGCAACATAGTTAGGACTCTTTCTCTGTTAAATGGCACAATACCACATTTATTAAAACCAGCTTTTATATTATTTACACCATTTTCATTGAGTTTTAGTATAAGTCGTTTCAATAACATAGGAAAACGATCCTTAGGAATACATATTTCATGAGCACCATCAGTTTTTTTCAAATTTTCTAAAATACTTCTCCAGTGCATTTTCAGTGGTCTAAAAAAGGCCACGTCAAGCGGTTGAGTTAAATGGGTGGAATTGGTAGGTAGGAATACAAACTTAATATTATATTTTTGGCAAATTTTAATTGATTCAGTGGAAAGATGACTTGACAAATTATCTCCAATTAATATTTTTGTCCCAGAAAGTTTGGATAGATATGGAATAGCAATTGTTTTAATCCAATCGTCAANAAAAAATATCTCCAATTAATATTTTTGTCCCAGAAAGTTTGGATAGATATGGAATAGCAATTGTTTTAATCGAATCGTCAAAACAAAAACTGTCAAACCAACCAGATTTTGTTCGATTAAAACGGGTATGTTTAGGACCACCAATTCTCCATGTATCACATATATGTTTTGATCTATATACAACATATGGAGGTAGGAGTTCTCTATTAGCTGCAGCAGCAAACATTACTGAAGTAGAAGCTTTACTGTTATTCATAACACGTTCAGGGTATTTCGATCCACACTTTGTAATTACTTTACGTTTACCCGGGTCATCGGTTAGATTGGTTTCATCGTAGTTAACAATATGACTAGGAGGAATTCCATCCATAGAGATCTCCAGGTTGTCAAAGTAATTATTTAATGTTTCTCTAGTTATAGCTGCCCTGGAACGTTTTATATTTTGACATAATCTGAGTGCAAGTTTTGTTTTGTGCCTAGTCAGAAAACCATTTGCCCAATCCTTTCCAGGTAAATTGTTTTTATTGAATTGCCTCACCTTTTTACCACGTCGATCCAGGTATCCTTTCACCACCATTCTAATATCATACCTACCCAATGGATAGCCCCATTCTGCACAAAGAGACAGGCATGATACTATATGATTTTCTTCTTCAGTGGAAAGTGCTGTTTGTCCACCTTGTGCCTTCATGTTTGGATTTTTGACATGGTGGAAAAGTACTGAATAATGTATACCATATACTTCACTAGCTTCTCTATAGGTCATTTGTCGTGCCTTTATGCAGCGAATGGCCGATTCTAAATCATTTTGATTGAGAATCTTATATTTTTTGGCTCTTGGATCTCTTTTTCTAATACGGCCCATGATTGTTTCTATTCACCCGAAAAAAGAGACATTTTACAAAATGTATAATAAAAAAAAAAATAATGAATTTAAAATTATTATACTTACAAGTTTCGACTACAGACAACTAGCTTGAACAATTTAAATGTGTAAGTAAACAAATTATTTCATTATAAACAGTGAGTTTGTATTTTACTTTTTTTTTTTGATAAGAAATAGTACATGTTTGTTATCAATTTTACGTGCATGGAGGGAAACATAAACGGAACGTTTCTAGCTTATCGAATTTCGTACTAGTGTGTATTCNATTTTACGTGCATTGAGGGAAACATAAACGGAACGTTTCTAGCTTATTGAATTTCGTACTAGTGTGTATTCAGTTTAGTGAAGGTAGCATATTGATAACACAAATATTTGATTATGGGGACGAAGAAATAATAACTTTCCTGATTTTGTTTCTATTTACCCCACTGTTTCTATTCACCCGGTTTTACATAAGAAACGTTTCGATGCTAATCTGAAGATAGTGTTTAATATTAGGAAGTTGGTGGATTATTCAAAAGAAAAATTAACTCCTATTTTTTGTTCTACTTCAAATGCTATTTGCACATAGAAAATAGGTCGTCGATACAAAATTTTTTTTTTTGAACTTCTATATCTTACGCAGTATCATCAATTTTTACAAAAATGGAAGATAAAATTGATATTTTAATTAAATCTGCAAATTAATTAAAAGCTTCAAATAATAAATTAGTAACATCCATCAACTCTCTTTTTAAAAAATTAGTAGCTGTCTCTAATAAAGTTAATGAACTTACCACGAGATTCAACGCTCTATCATATCAACATGATGATATGGGTGAAGTTGAAATAACTTAAGCGACACTAGTTTTTTTTAAGATAGTAGCTGGCGTAAGATGTATATTTAGCACAAAGAATACAAAAACAAAATATTTAAAGAAAAGAACAAAAGGACAGAACAAAATTATATTATCAAAAGCACTAAGACGATAGTATCACACAGTAATAACAATAGTAACCGTAGTCGAAAATATCCCGAACGCTACTAACTGGAAAATGCCGTGGAGATTGATCAATGATTTTCTAAGGTCTAAAGTATATAACATTGAAACTAAATTTTGAATCATCAAAAACAAATTCATCAATATTAATTTATGATAAGTTAATATTAGAGATAATGGATCGACAATCACGGTTGAAAAATGTATTGCTTTTTATTTTACCTGAAACTCTCATTGACTCAACTAATACAAAATCTGATTTTAATTCAGTTCAAAATATACTTGATTTTCTTAAGTTAAAGACTAAACCGAACTATATCACTCGTCTGGTCAAACTTTCCTCCAATACTGTTAAGCGACGACAACTTAAATTATGTTTTTCCAATCAAAGAGATATTTTTGAGTTACTTTTATGTCAAAGCAAATTAAAATTAAATCCTACATGGAAGGACCTTCGATTTTCTTTTGACCGGACCAAACAACAACAAGAATATATGTCTCATCTTCGCCAAGAACTTCTTAACCGTAGATCTAATGGAGAAAACGATCTCATACATCAAATGATGAGAAATACATCAAAGGCACTCCAAAAATTATCAATTAAAAAAACTAATTTACAATTACGAAATCTTAAATTGCTACTATCAAAACGTAAGCGGTCTGAATACTAAATTTACTTTATTAAAAACCAATATTTTTAATTTTATTATATTAGCTTTTACTGAAACCTGGCTCCATAATAATGTTATTTCACTAGAACTTGGTCTCTTCAATTACGAAATTTATAGATGTGATTTATAGATCTTATCTAACTAGTTCATTATCCAGAGGAGTAGGTATACTAATAGCAGTTGATAAAAGATAAGTTTCCTCACAAATTAACACTGAAATCAATTCATCAGAGTCTTGCTTTGTTTCTGTTAAAATAAATAGTAAAAAAAACCCAGCACAGTGGGGTCGCGGCATAGTGGGGACGTTACATAATTGGATTAAAATCACTATCATGATAGTGCTGTAGATTGTGTTTAATTCTAAGAAATTAATGGATAATTACAAAAGCAACGTCAACTTTTATTTCCTTAATTATACTCAGATTAGTAATTCTTTAAATTATATATTATATAATTTTTAAAATTAATTGTTTTCAAATTATTATTGATATTGATTTTTAATATGCTAAAAGTAATAATTTAAAACCATCTATGTTTCGTCCTTTAATATGAAAGTTTTTAATAAAAAAAAAATGAATTTGTGACTATAACTTTTAGTTCAACTTGCAAGTTTGAAATTGACATTATTAAATAGAAAAAAATGAAATTGTTAAGATTGATATGCAATCAGGAAATTTTATAATTACTATTTACAATACATTTATCAAAAAAGCTTAACATTTTTTTTACATTTTTATCGTAATAGATCACTTAAATAAAAATCATAGTAATCATTTCTAATTAACTTTTGGTGTTTAAAAAGATTCTACAATAGAAATATTCAAAATTTAATTAATCTTAATGATTATATATCTAAAAAAATCAATAAAAAAATAGTTGTTAAAAAATTTACTCAATTGAGCGTATTATAGAATTTGATTATAATTGTAAAAATCCATCTTTAAATTCTAGTGAAACTAAAAATCATTTTTTCTTTAAATTTATGATTTATATAGCAACATGTTACGAAAAAATTTGGAATATTATAGACTTAACGCGTATCTTGTATACGATGAACACCACACAAAAATATGTCTATATAAATATTTATTTATATTAGTTTGTATAGAGAGTTTAACAGCGCACTAGTCACAGCGGTAGTAGGTGAATAGATATATAAGTTGAAAGGTTCAAATATATAAAAAAATCAAACTAATTGACCGCAACGAAAAATTTGTAACTTTCATGGCGTTTTACAAAAATATAAGAAAAGGGTCGCCAACCTATTGGGCGAGACCGTGTATTTTCGGACCACAGTAGGATTAAAAAAAAAATTAACTTTTGTATATTAAAACAATTAACCAAAAATATAAAATTAATAAACATTAAAGTTGATGTACGTTGAGTCGTTGATCGTAGATGTACACCAAAACGTCGTGACAGTTGTCACATAACCATATAGATCAGGGATGACCTTATACAAGGTCGTTGCCCGTACCTTATAAACTAGGGGAGTTGATTTTTGAAAGGAGAAAAAAAAATACACTAGTCCATTGAAGATGGAACACGCAAAAAAAAGAAAAATATGATGGTTAAGTTAAATTAAGGGGATTTTATTAAAAAAATATATATAACACAAATATATATATATATACAAATAGACAAAAAATAAATAGATACTTTTGTGACGTTAGAAAGTCTATAAATCTATATAATTATATATTTATGTATTATAAACGCACCTTTATGCAGTAAATCACCGGGTAATGAGAATGGTAATTACAAATTGTTGCGGTTAATGATTTTTACCGCACTCGAGTGGGGCTATAGCACTAGCGAAAAAGAAACACAACCCTTTTTTTCTACGGTTCAAAGTAACGTTGTATGCTTTATTTTGATATTGAACAAACTTTAGATCGATTTACATAAAATTTCTAACAGAAACACAAAAACACCGTAAGCAGTTTTACGGAAAAATATATATACTGGTGTGTACGCGAAGACAATATCGTACCGGTGCGTTCGGCGAGCGATCCAATCAGTCTCGTGTCACGGAGATTACTTAACGTATATTTGCGGCGGGTCGTAGATGGACGTGCGGCACTTGCTGGATTTGTACCGTGGCGTATCGCACGCGGTGTTAGTCAGTCAAACTACCATATGCACGTAGTAGGGCGGCGGCTGATAAAGGTGTCACGGGTCGCGGGGCTCCGTGTATAGAGAACGACGCGGAACCNGCGGCTGATAAAGGTGTCACGGGTCGCGGGGCTCCGTGTATAGAGAACGACGCGGGACCGTGTCAAATACCCCCCTGCCAAGCCGCCGGTCTACTCAGTGAATCGAATACGCATGGCGCGATTATCAATCGGGGTAAATAGCTAATTATACCGCCTATCACGGTGAAGGCTCAAATACTTACGTTGTTTATCCTGACGAGCTGGCTGTTCGCGCGTGATCGCGCTTGGTGGTGGTCGATCGCATAACGCGAACGAGGTTGGTGGAGGGTGTTGTTTTATTCTTCTTTTTCCTTAGCATGGTCGTGAGAGGGGGGATAGGAGAGGAATATGTCGATGACGTCCTCTAATAGGTCCTCCTCCAGCTCAATTAGCTCCTCTGCTGGAACGGGTTCTGCTGCTGGTGTCGTTGTTGTGGTTGTTGTTGCTGTGGTTGTTGTCGCTGTGGTTGTTGTCGCGGTGGTTGTTGTCTCGCCGACGACCACCCCCCAACGTTTTAACATGTACTCCTTATACCGCTGCTCGCGGCGTCTCAGTTCGGACGGGGAGTACCGTCTCGCCGAGGGCACGAGGGGGGGGGGGGGACGACGGCGGACCTGCGCTTTTGGGGGCGCGCGGTCGTCGTGGGGGACGAGGGTTGAGGGCGGTGATGTCAGGTCGCGCAGCGCGAAATGACATCAGCGGTCGTGGACGGGTACTATCCGCTCGCATATCGCGATTGGATAGTAAGGTTGTTGGGGGCCGTACACCTGTCGAGCTGGGGGTGGGTTGCCGGGTCCCAAAATGTTGGGCCGCAACATTTATCACCCTCCTGGTCGAGGTGGCGGCCGGGGTGCTCGGGGCCCGTACCCCCAGTGTGGACTGGGTCGCACGGGGGACCGCAACGAGTGCACTGCGCGCATCGCGGAGTGCATCGTTGCGACCCATGCGGACACCCCGGTCGTAGTGGGCCCGTGCGACGGGGTCGCGAAGGACCTCAGGGAGTGGGGCTCGGGCAGCGTCCTCAGCTGACCGGAGGACCCGCGGGAGGGGTTGTAAGGACCGGCCGATCTCATCCGCCAGATGGCGAACGAGCCGGTGTAGGTCCTGTAGGGAGCTGTTGGGTGGGTTGGGGTCATTGTTGTTGTTGTTGTTGTTCATGCTGAAACAGATATAAAAAAAAACATAAATATCGTAGTCCGTCAGCCAGTCTGTGGTCTTACGTGTCTTAGTAATTTGTTTTTCACCTTTTCATACATGAGACATGAATTTTCCGTGGGGGGTTCTGGTCTGTCAAAAACACCCCTTTCCCTAGGCGTTCCGCTAATCTGACGGGACCCCACCACTTTGGCGCAAAACCCGCGCAAAATTTTTCACTTGCTTTTGATAGGTGATGCGCTTTATAGTACACAACGTCGCCGACCGCGTATTATGTTTTGTTGTGAACGGGCGGCGGTGTTATTTTTGTGCTAGTGATTTGTCGTTCGCGCTCTAACCGGTCGTTATTGATAGTAGCAAGTGCTACCGGTTGTACTCGCTGTAGTAGCCAATCACCCGGTTTCTTACCTTCTCTACCTAATACGAGTACGGACGGTGCGTATCCGGTAGTCTCGTTGCGCCTATTGCGTAGAGCGAACAACAAAGGTGGTAATTTTGTATNTACAAAGGTGGTCATTTTGTATCCCAAGATGTATGACTCGACTCTGTTAATAAAGCGCGAAGTCCTTTTTTTAACTCTTGGTTCTTTCGTTCTACTGGGTTAGCCCGTGGGTGGTATATCGGTGTAGTCCAGGCCTCTGCCCCCCACCGATTTATCGCGTCGATCATTTCTTTGGACACGAGCGCACGGCCGTTGTCGCTTAAAATTACTCGCGCGTAACCGTAGCGTGAGAAGAACTCCCTTTCTAGCGCGTCTACAATCGTTTTCGTTGTAGGTGCGCCTATGGGGTACGCTTCGGTCCACCTGCTGAAGCAGTCAGTTACTACTAATAGGTTCGTCTTGCCCCTTGGTGTTCTAGGGTACGGTCCCATCAGGTCGATANACTTGGTGTTCTAGGGTACGGTCCCATCAGGTCGATACTGATTACAACAGTACAACAGTACAACACTCGCGTTCAACAGCGGCATAACGTTTTTGCACGTCCGATAGCTTCCTACTAGCGTACGCGACCATATTCCTTTCGCCCGGGCCGATGCCGTGCTGAAACAATACCGCTCCCACGCCTAGTTCGCTAGCGTCGGTTTGTAAGCAAAACGTTTTTGTGTAATCCGGGGGAG